GGCCGACTGCGTCTCCCTCACCTGCCCAGTAACCCCTTCTCCCTTCCTCCCCCTTGGCAGAAGCTGCAGACCAACAGCCCTCGCTACAGCAAAGGATCCTACAACGATTTCAGCTTTGTAACCGGCAAGGACGACGAAGGCGTTCCGATGAGGAAAGGAGAACATTTAGGCGAATTTAATTTAGGCTCCACAATTGTTCTGATCTTTGAAGCGCCCAAAGACTTTAACTTCTACTTGAAGCCTGGCCAGAAAATACGCTTTGGGGAGGCTTTGGGGTCCCTCTAAGGTCTCCGTGGTCAGAGGGGAGGGGCTTTCCTGTGGACAGGGACTCCGTTCATACAAGGAAGCCGTTCTGTATGGTGGAGTATTGCTCAGCAGGGCCTGAGTGAAGAGAATGAGTCCTTAGCCTTAACCTGGGGGTGCCGGGCTAGTCTCATCGGGAGGGTTGCGGGTTGATCGGGGACTGTGGCCTTCACGGATGTTGACCGGGTGGCTTTTCTTCCCTCCGGGCTCCGGAGTTTCTTCCTCTGGCTCCACGTGCAGTGCGGTCAAGAGGAAGAGGAAAGGCAGAAGGAAGCTCTCTTCTTTAAAGGGACAGGATCCAACTGGCCTCATTAACCCTCAAATTCAAATTATCCACACCAAGTTTTCAATCCAATCCTAGCGAAGGGGGAGAGCTAAGCAGAAAAAAATGCAGCTTGGAATCCGATTAAGAAACCTGCTAAAAACCTCGTTGTCTCCCTTTAAAGCAGAGGTTTGTGCTGTCTGAGCCCCCAACACTGTGTCTGTGTTCAGCATTTCACCTGAGGTTGCTTTGGATGGGGGGAGCCCAGCGGACCTCTTCCTGTAGCTGACTCCAACTTCCAAAACTATCCTGCTGTGCTGGGCCTTCCCTTTTTCTGTGTTGCACAGGGGATTTCAGATGCTCTCTCTTGAACCTGGCTTGCGAAAACACACACCAGCCCCACTACAAGGGATTAGAGTTTGCTTCTCTTCCCTCTGTGCAGGGAAGTGGCAAGGTGGGCTCTGCCCAGGACTACTTAAAAAAATACCATTAGGAACATTGAGTAATTCTCGTATCTTCCCCCATGTATTAACTTCTAGTTCTCTGTTGCAGCTGTTCCAAGGATGAGGCTGAGGAGGAATCAGAATTGATCACTATAAATTCTCCACTTTGCCCTAAAATATCTTTTATGGGCTTCAGACTTTGGGGTTATGGCCATAGAAAAAAAGGAGAGTTGTCTCTCCTTTTTTTCTATGGCCAGTAGTTTTCAGAGACAACCTGCTGTAGCTAAATGTAGAGCAGAACTTGATCAGACATGTCCTGTGTGTGACGCTGCATACCTATGATAAGGGCCTTTTTCTGTGGCTGTGAGGGATGAAAAGCAGAAAGTGGTCCTTTGTGATGGCTGGGTACCTTCCTTCCTTCCTTCCTTCCTTCCTTCCTTCCTTCCTTCCTTCCTTCCTTCCTTCCTTCCCACAAGGCAGAAGCAAAGTTCTTAACCAGAAAACAGCTCTTTAATCCTCCAACATCATCCTGTGCTCTGCTGCCCTACCGCCCCAGGAAGTCACTAGGAGCCACGCGATAGACAGCCGTGCCTTGCTCTATCAGGGGAGAGGAATTATTGCTTCTCTTTGCTAGCACTGCAGTCCGACTCTGAGCCTTCCGTTTCCCTGTTGCTCTATTCTGCTGTACTGGAGCCCCTTCGGCTGGTCTCCGTCAGAAAGTGGTTCTGGACCAGGTCCTGTGAAACTCTGGGCTCAGGGGGTCACCCAAACCCTAAACAAATGGGAGTGGGTTTCCTGGTGACGCTGTGAATTTCTCCAACATGGAGAATCCTTTTATTTTTCAACTGTATCAGTAGCACAGTATTTTTGTATGTCAAAATGTACAACTTAAAAGACATTAACTCATTAATGGCAAATGTTTTAAAATAAAAATAAGAACTGACCGTGCTTTGACTTTTAAAGTGTTTTAATTTGGGGAAATGCTCTAGATGCGTCCCCTCTTTCCTGGGGTGGTTCAGTTTGATGGCCCTCTGAGGAATGTGCAGGGCTATCTAAGCTGGTGGGCGCAGCTTCTCTGGCCCTGCAGAAGGAAGGACAGAAAGCAAGTCCTTCTGGGATCACGCAGACAGGAGGTGGAGACGCCTAGGTCTTCAGGGCAGCTTGGATGTCCTGGACGCGGTTCACGTACTTCTGCATCAGCTGCCGCTCTCCTTCCAACGTGCTTGTAAGTGAGCCAATCTGCACCTTCAGCTGCAAAAAACAATAAAAAAAAACCCAGGAACATGAAGAATCACGTGGGTGAGGGACAGCCTGATTCAACTACAGAGAAATGGCATGCTGTACCTTTCTGAAACTATTGTTATTCCTAAACATTTTTCCATGAACCACCACCAACCCTCGCATCCCGGCTTCTGCTTACTGTACGCCCTCAATCCCCTGAGCTGCCAGATCAATTCTAAGTTTACTTCTCGGGGGGAAGCAAGAGCAGCTTCATTTACCCCAAGCAGATTTCCAAACAAAATGTGGGCTAGCAGTGTAGTGCCTCTGCTAAAAGAAGACAAATGTTATTTTGGAGTGTGTTAATGGGAGCCCAGAAGTCAGGAGAAGTCACTGTTCCTCTCTCCATTGCCTTAATGGAGACCTGCTTGGAATATTTCTCCAGTTCTGGGCACCACAGGTGAAAAAAAAGAGAGACACAAACTGGGGCAAGTTCTACCAAGATGGTGAAGGGCCCACAGCCCAAGCCCTGCACAGTTGGAGAAGTTGAAGAATATGCCTGTGTTTAATCTACAGAAGATCAGATACGACAGCAGTCTTTAAATATCTGGAGATAACACACACAGGGGGCCGTGGGCTTCTTCTCTTGCCCACGGCCACCTCTGGTAGGACAAGAACAAGGGTGAAAGTTGCAAGGAAGGGGTTCAGGCTAGACATCAGGAGAAACCTCTGGATTGTATGAGCTGACCAGGAGCCAGATGAAGCAAACCTGGTCTCGCTGCAAGTCTTGAAACAGGCTGGATGGTCGTCTGCCTGAGGTTCCAGCAAATCCTTGACAAGAGTGGAGGGGTGGGACTTGTCATGTTCCTTCCAATTTTATGGGTCTGAACCGATGATTCTCAACATTGGTACTTTTAAGACGAGCAGATTTCAACTCTTAAGCTTGCTGGGGAATTCTGGGAGTTGAAGTCCACATATCTTCAAGCTGCCAAAGTTGAGAAACACTGGTCTTCCAAACTTTAGGCTTGTGTCTAACTAGAATCAATCATAATTTCTCTTCTAGTTGTTTGCAAATAAAATGGAAAGATGCATGGAGGGTGCTAAGCAACCCGCGAATTAGGATGCAGCTGCCAATTTTCTGGATTCTGAAGGACTGGATTATCAAATTCAGCAGAGTAATTTCTGCTCGAAAATCCAGACCTTGGGGGATAGGATATATGCACACTTAAGAAAACCAGGATATTCCGTTGTGATAGGGAAAGGCACAAAGCAATTTTGTCTAGCAACAGCTCCTCCAGTTCCCACAATGTTCCAGTTTTCACCTGTGTTATTTTTGCTGACTTGTCTTTAAAATCTAGGAAGGCAAAGGTGAGTTTCCACGCTCAGTGCTACAACTACAGGACAAGAAAGACACTCAGAGCCTGTCAAAGCCAGAAAGTATCTTGGGGGTGGGGTGGGGGGGTTGCAAGGCTCATTTCCGCTCTTCTTGAAGAAGCTGAAATGTTGCAGGATTTGCTCTGGCCTGTCCGATCAGTGACCCCAGTCAGTGACCCCAGAAGCCTCTAGTAGTTGGTACTAGAGGCTTGTCAGTGACCCCAGAAGCCTCTAGTAGTTGGTACCTGGCCCAGCTTCTCACGGATTTCCTGCGCATCGGTGGGTTCCCCGACTCCTCCTCTCAATTCCAGCCACTTGCCAAGAAGCCGCTCCTGTCGCTGGCAAAACCTAAAAGGCAAGTGAAAACTCTTCATTTTGCTTCCATGACAGGCAACGGATCTCTGCCCAAAGCTCACATCAACTGCACTTTTACAGCTGATTGTGATCCCTTTATTTTTTTAAACAAAAGTAACAACCAAAAACAAGCCGTTAATCAGAAACAATAAACGAAATAGATATAAAAGATGGTGAAACCTCTTCCAAAATAAACACTGACTAGCGGGGCTCCTGGGCCACCACGAACAGAACAGGCCATCCTTCTTCAGTCTTGGTTTCCAATCTGCTCTGACCACTAGGCAGCCGGACCACACAGCCACTGCCTTCCATATCCACCTGGAGAACGGCATCCATCCACCCCCCAACTTCGCTTCACAAGGAAATCGGTGACAACTATCCCCATTTCAATGCCGGCCCACAGGAAAACTGAGAGGGAGGAGGGGCTGGCTCCTGGGAGAGCAAGACTGGAGGATCCTAACCCTTCCCCCCCCCAGTCAAAGAGCCCCGGCTGGCCCCCATTTGGCCCCTTCCTTCCCCCCATGGCACCGCTGTCCAACAGAGGCTCTGGGCACCTGCGAAGGAGCAGGGAGAGGAGAGCAGGCAGCGCCTAGCGGGCAGACCATCAGACAAGAGCCAGGCTCTGCAGCCTCCACCCGGCCTCCCAGCTCTGCTGAGGAAGGCCTGAGAGTCCTGGGTGCATTTATGCAGACGTTTCATTACCCAAACTAGGTAACATCATCAGTGCTGGGAAGGAGAAGAAGGTCTTCACGACCATTCTCCACAGCCGAGGAATCCTTCCGATTCAGACTCTTCTACAAGCCGCAAAAAGCAGAAACCAACAACCCCTGAATTGGAACAGAAAAGCATTCCTGGTACACACTTCAGTTCCTGCTGCTGGCTGTAGTAATGCTGCATTCTTTGCTCAATCAGCTGGAGCTCATCCTGTAGATGCTGAACTTCAGCCTCTCCTCCTCTGGTTTCTAAAAGAAAAAAGAAGTAACTTGCTTAGCGTTTGGAACGTTTTCCCCATCCCACTTTCCTCCTAGAAATTCTCTCCAGAACTTGCCAAAATTTGTGGAGACTGATCTCTTTCCCAGTCTCGTTCAGCAGGTAGAGGAACTGCCAGGACGAAACAGGATTAGATTGGTCCACGTATTTTTTTGCTTGAAAGGCTAAACAGCCAACAGCCCCAAATACACAGATTTTCTTTCGCAAAAGTCAAGTTCCTGCCGTGCTTATGGGGTGGGGAGGGGTCAAGCGCCTATTTTCAAAACACTTCAGAATTTCTGCTTCTTTCTTTCCTAAATAGTCTGGATTGGGTTGAGATTCCCTGACACGTGAAAGTACATTTTTCTAAAAAGGGGGGATAAAAAGCAGGTTTGGGAAAGGAGCTAATTGTAACATTGGCATTCTGCTGATCCCACATGGACTCTAGTGGTTTACACACAATCCAACAATAAAACCCCCAAATGCAATGGTCTATCCCAGGGGTAGGCAACCTTGGCTCTTTTATGACTCGTGGACCTCAACTCCCAGAATTCCTGGGCCAGCTCCCCTGGTCTATCCAATTAAAACAGCCCCCCCCAGGGTGAAAACTTGGTGACATGAAGCCCCAGATGGTCTCCA